TTGCCTTTTCTTCCCTTGATCACCAAATAGAGAAGTTTTAAGACCATGCTATAAAAAATTCGAGTTTTCAGCACTAAACTCACACTTGGCTGGAGAAGCACTTCTGTAATTAGTGCATCCCCTGAAACTAACAAACATTTCCTCCGGGGCAAGTGGAATGGTGGGTGGACTAGCCCACACTTTTCAAATCCTCCTTACCTCTCTCCTTTCTATCAACTGCAGGCAGTTGAATTCACAGAGCTTAATATGTATATAATGCAGCTCCACTATACACAGAGATGGATTAATACAATGCCCTAAACAATACAATAGCCCTGAACAAACATTACAAGCAAGAGGTTAGTCTCCTCCTGTTTGCTACTAAAAATAGTGACATAATCATCAAGAATGGAGTACTGGAGGAGAGCTTTGAGGAGGCAATTTTTGGTCGTGATTCAGAAGCAATCTAAACTACTTTTTAAACAAGTCAAAACTAAGGTGTTCTTCTGCCTTCCGAAATTTCAAATTCAGAAGCAAATGAGTCATTTGAAAAAAAAAATTAAGCCTCCAAGGACTTCACCACCCACTACTATGCTACACTGTGGGACTTTATTTTGCTTTCATTGCTTTGTTCTTTTTCCTCTCTGTGATTTGCAGAGCAGTGTGGGAAAATGGTTAACACAGAATAAAAGTTAAAATTAAAACCGTTTTTTCCACTATGGTGCTGTCTCCTTCCCACCCCCTCATCCCTGGGGGCCTATCAACTGAGTTAAGTAGCATTACAAAGGCTACTGAGTTCCAGAACTATAGCCATAATCTACCTAAAATGGACTGATTTCCTAGCTCCAGGACAAGATAAATGATTAGTTGACTGTGCTTGATAATATGGAGAGAATTGATAGATAATGAAACAAGCTCATTTTAAGATGCCTGTGGAAATGTGGAAATTTGTGGCATTTATTAAACAATTCAGGTTGCTCAAATAACTTTATGTTTTGGGCTCGAAGAGTTTCCAAGGAAAGCTACTGTTCGCAGCCCTCTGACATCAGACTTGCTAGATTGAACAGGAAAAGCTTGTTTCTCTCTGCCAACCTGAGGAATAACACCTAAATATTTTCACCCTGAGAAGGACCTGTCAGAGAGACATACTCCATCCCAACCAGTGACCCAGCCCAGGCTCTGACAATACCCAAGTCTTTGTCGAACACTTATGTGCCAAGCACACGTGGTGACCACTTTAACATCCACTTTTTGGTTTAACACACACAGAGTTTTACAGAACATGTTAAAACCCCATTTTACATATGAGACTATCAAGACTTACAATGATTAAGAATCTTTCCTTGGTGAGACATATAATAATAGTAATCCAAGTAGATAGAAAAGAGGGTTTGCTCAGAACATGGGGTAAATGTGGAAGACTGAATTGGGGTCCATGTGATGAGTTAAATACAATAGAAACAGTGTGTCTGAGGCATGGTGCTAAGTGTCTTTCAGCACTATCTTTAGCCTAATCATCACGTCAAGGATATGAAGTAGGTAGTAAAATAGACCCTATTTTAGAGGTGGGAAAATGGAGCTCTGAGGGAGGTTAGGAAAATTGCCAGTAATTGAGCATTGCATGGGAACTCCTATAGTCACGGCTTGTACAATAAAAGAGATGTTGGTGCAAAGGATGCTGAGATAAGTCAGGGCAGCTTCAGACTGCACACAATGACAATGAGGACTCCAAGTGGGACAAAAGACCTTCCACTTAAGCAAGTATATAGGCTGTAACACAACGCAACCCAAGTGCTTGGGGACGTGAGTAGAGAGAACGTTATCTCTGAGCCACAGCTTGGCAGGAAGTCAAAAAGGAGAGGCTGACTGGTTGCCTAGGTCAGGAAGCTCCTCTAAGTGGAATGACGTACCCCCTTCTCTGCTCTGCGGCACTGGGGCACTCAGCTAGGGCTTCTAGTGCCAACCACACTGCAGTGTTTTCGTGGGGAAGTCAGGCTCCAAGGAGGGTCTGAGGATGAATAAGTCACCATTATACCTGATCTTGCTCTCCACCACTACCAACCAGCAAGCAGGCAAAGGATTCTATTTTTAAGTCACACTGTGCACTGGGTAACTCTGCAGAACACAAGTTGTGTGGAATTATTAAAGGGATCAAAGCCTTACAATAAAGGAATGAACTTTAATGAGTCAGTTAGCAGAGTGCAGAGTGGCAGGGATCAGAGAAAGGGACGGTGAGATCTGGACAACAGTGTCTCCCCACAGTGCTAGAAAATACTAAACAGACAGGTAAAATGATTAGACACCCAGGATTTGCTGCAAAACATTACTGGAGGTAGGGGAAGGTGATGAATGAGAATTGTTGGGAGTACAGATAAAATTAGATAGTCCATAGACTGATAAATGTTGAATCTCTGTGATGAGTATGTTAGGGTTCATTATGCTCTATTAGGTTATGTATGTTTGAAATTTTCTACAATAATTTAAAAAAATAGTATAGATATGGTCTAGTCTATTAGATAGAAAATTGTATCCCACTGAGAACGTAAGTGTGACCAGGGGGATGGCCTGGATTCTCTGCACAAAGCTGTGAGTTTCCCCTACATCCAAACAACCTCCAAGTCCTGGTACCTTCAAACTCTAAAATTTATCTCAAATCCATCCACTTTTCTCCATTTTCACTGCCACCACCCTAGTCCTGGCACCACCAGCGCCAGCATCGCTTGTCTAGACAGCAGCTGAGCCCCCCTAACTATGGCCTCCCTATTTCCAGTAGGACTGTCTCTTTCCAATCTCTTCTTCCTACAAAAGATGGGAGTGATCTTTTCAAAATGCTGATCTGATATTCTCATGCGAAAAAAAGCAAGATGCAGAATAGTATACATAACTTTGTGTAAGAAAGGGGAGACCACGTGCATACACATGCACATACACGCACACACACGTGTGTATATATTATTTGCTTACAATTGCAAAAGAAACTCCAGAAAGATAAACCAAAAACTTGTGTAATTAAAAGAGGAGGGAGGGTACAATTGAGGATACAGATGTCAGCCAAACTTCTCTGAATGTGTCCTCTTATAAATCTTGACTTTGGAGTCATGCAAATATTTATATATTCAAAAAATAACACTAAGGAAAAGTGAAAATAAAACTAAGGTATTTCTAAAAATTGAAACCAAACTGAAATGAAAAAGGAAGCAGAGAGCCTTGTAGAAATGGCAGGAAATAGAAAAGTTGAGTTGGGAATATGTTATGGTGTAAGGAAGAAAGGACACTATCAAAGATGAATGAGGTCCGGTTAAAACAACAAAGATCTGACATGAGGGACTTCCCACTGGCGAAACACAGGACAATTTATGCATCAATAGAATAATGGCTAAAATTGTTAAAAACACATTGAATATATAGAAACCATAAGTTCATAATGACACCAAAAAAAAGAGAAAGTGGAAAAAAAAGGGAAGGAGAAAATTACATCTTTGGGCACTATTAGAAGTAACTAGCCCACCAGCAGCTTACTCTGCAAACTTGCAATCAAAGGGAAAGAATAAAATACATAGTGCCTTTCCTGGGTCAGCTATATTCCAGAGTCGCACACCAGCCCAAACTGATGAGGGAAATTTTTATCTTTTACAGAGGGATTCTAATTCATAAACGCAGCAGGAAGGATAGCATTCAAAACTCATCATCCTGCGATTCTTAATGGAATAGCTGATTCAGATAATGATCATCAGTGGATGGAGTCATTAGATGAGAGACTTGCTGGGGAGTTTGCAGTGTGGGAGTTAGGCTTTCATCCCCTGAATGTTAAGCCCATTTTGCTTCCCTGGGGTAATTCTCACTTGATTATCAGATCTAAACTTTTTATGACAGTGGATCTAGTTCGCTGATACTTTGTTGAGGATTTTTATGTATTTATTGGGGATACTGGTCTATATTTGTCGTTTGTTATATCTTTGGCTTCAGTTTCATTAATACTGGTCTCATGAAATGAGTTGGAAGCATTCCTTCCTCCTGTATGTTTTGGGAGAATTTGTGAAGGATTGCTATTATATCTTTAAACATTTGAGAGAATTCACCAGTGAAGCCGTCGAGGCTTAGCATATTTTTGTGGGAAGATTTTTAATTAGTGATCTATTCAGATTTTCTATTTCCTCTTGGGTCAGTTTTGATAATTTCTAGGAATTTTAAAGATTTTCATCTAAGTTGTCTATTTGTTGGTATAAACGTATTTGTGGTTTTCCCATATCTTTTTAATTTCTGTAGAGTTATTCCTGATTTTATTTTTATTCCTGATTTTGATGATAGATGTCTTTTATTTACTTAGTTTAGCTAAGGGTTTGTCCATTTTGCTGATCTTTTCAATCATTCAACTTATGATTTCATTGATTTTTAAAAAATTTTTTGTTATATATTTCATTGATTTTCACTCTAAACTTTATTATTTCCTTTCTTCTCCTTACCTTGTGTTTACGTTGCTCTTCACTTTCTAGATTGTTCAGGTTGAAGATTTGGTTACTGATTTGAGATTTTCTGTTTAACATAGGCATTTAAGGCTATATATTTCCCTCTTAGCACTGCTTTACGTACATCCCATACATTTTGACATGTTTTCATTATAATTCCGCTCCAATTTCTCTTGTGGTTTTTTCTTTGACCCATGAGTTATTTACACATGTGCTGCTTAATTATCAAGTACTTGTGATTTCTCAAATTTCTTTCTACTGTTGATTTCCAATTTAATTCTGTTGTGGTTGGAGAACATTGTGTTATTTCAATCCTTTAAATTTACTGAGAATGATTTTATCACCTAGTTACATGATCTGTCCTGGAGAATGTTTCATGTGTGCTTGAAATGGGTGAATATACCAACCAATCTTAGCGTTACTGCAAGTGGAACAGCTAGACATTATGTGCCTTGTGATCTGATGCAATAGGTGAGTCACAGTATCACATATATTAGTCAAAATGGAAAGATTATGCTGCATAAAAAAAATACCTAAATTCCAGTGGCTACTTACCTACTAAGGGGCCAGGCTGATAGAAGTGCATCTCAATGTGCCCTCCATGATCACACGGAAAGCAAAAGGAGACAAGGCAAATCATGCACTGGGTCGTAGAGCTACTACCAAAAAGTGACTAATTTTGCTCTCACTCTTATGTAACTAACCAAAGCAAGTCACTTAATCACAGTTAATTTTACAGGGGCAGGGAAGTGCTATTCCACCATACACCTGGAAGAGACCTGAAAATTCTTAGTGAAAAGCACTTAATAATTGACATACTACTGTGAAATACTCTCGCCAAAATTTGCTGAACTCAAATCTAATCAAAATTTTAGGGTTAACTTCCGGTTTATAGGAACACTGTGGTATTGAAGAACAAGTTAAGTGATACCATAAATAAGCAAGAAAACAAATCTAATTCTTTAAAAAAAAAAAAACCTGTGGTATGAAAAAAAAAGGGGGTTAAAAAGACCAAGAGGCTTAACAATTGAATGTAAGATATAGGCACTGTTTAGACCCTGAGTTCAACCAGCTAATGAAGACATTTGAGACAACTACAGAAATTTGAATACAGAGTAAATATTAGATAACACCAAGGAATTAGTAATGTTAAAAATGATAATGGCATGGTAGTCTTGTACGAAAACATCTGTATTTTTACAAGATGCATTCATAGGTAGGTAAGGATGACAGTATGTCTGTGGGTTGCTTTATAATACTTTAAAATTCTTTAGCAGAGGAAAAATTGACAGATGAAGCAAATGTGATAAAGTCTAGATAACTGTAGAATCTGACTGGTGTGCTTATGAGAGTGTATTAGAGTATGTGCTCTCTGTTTGTGTATATTCAAATTTTATTTAATAAAGACATTTAAACAATTGAATCTGATCCTGTCACTTCTTCGATCAAAACCTTTTACCGACTGCAGTGGCTGAAGAGGAAGTCCAAATTCATTACACGGCTCCTCAGGTTCAGCGTCTGCTTGTCATCATCTTCCTCACTGGTCACACTTTGATTGAGCATTTACCATGTGCCCAGGACTAAACTGAGCCCTCCATATAAAATTATTTATTTCAGATCTACTAGCAAGGCGAGAGAGATTGAGATTATTGATCTAGCTTCCAGGACAAACAAAAGCAACTTAAGCCTGAAACAAGACAAGAAAATACAGTCTCTTGCCAAGGAAGGTGCTAGCTATGACTGCGTAACAGATGACAGCCCTGTGGGCTTTCTTTGACACTGGCAGTCAAGCTTCACTTTCGCTTAATCTGACTGTTACGACTCCAGAGAACTCGTCTAGAAGTTGGGTAGGGTTAATGAACCATATCTCATGGCCCCTACAGTTGCGTGGATACAGTCCGGGTTGCCTGAAACCTAACACATCGCGAAGAAGCTAAAGCCTTAAGGCAGCTGTGTCACGTAAGTGCTCCCATTTTCCAAAAGGGGATGAGAACACGTAGGAGCCCCAAAACACAGAATACTGGAGCAGCGGGGGCTAGGCAATCCTCTGTTTACAAATCAAAGCCCCAAAGTAAGGAACTTGCCCAAGGTCCCCTATCTAGTTAAACTTTTAAACCTCTTTTAGTACTTTTTCTGCTGGAATCAGGAGGAAATTTGAGCCCAGGATGGCAAATAGATCTCAGCTGACATTCCAACTCCAAATAGTTGTTGGTGTTTGGAGCCACACTGTAGTGTGAAAGAGTCCCAGTCTGGCTTTAGAAGAAAATAGTGCTGTAATCAATTAGCAATGTCTGCCATGGACAACAGTCAGGAGAAGAAGGCGTCTCTGCTACAAGTTTGCTGACCTTGAAGATTGGGCCAGCAAGGTCGTTGCAGCAGGGGTGAGGGTGGGACGATCCAACGTTAAGTGGCCTGTTGTACACACCCTCCTTCTTCCTAGACAGGCCCTGTATTACTATTTATCCCATCGTGTATTTGATTTTGCACATGGTCAGAATGCCTATGAATCATTGCTCCGGGTTACTCCCCATCCTACTTGAGATGAGAAGATAAGTTGCAAAGTCAGGTCCTGGGCCAGCCAGATAACAGCATTTTGTTTGTTCTTCCTCTCACAGAAGGGTGATCCCCTAGCCAGCAGAGATCTCCTGAGCGCACAGACCAGCCTGCTGCAGAAGCCTGTTGTTGCCTTTTCTTTGACTTCTTTGAGATAAAGATATAGATTCTGGAACACAGGAGAGGCTTCTGGAATCATCTAGTGACATCTGATTTTACAGATGAGGAAACTGAGGCCCAAAGGAGGGAACTAGCTTGTCTAAAGTTACAGAGGGAAACGCAGGCTGCCAGTCTTCCCACATGCCATATTTATTTGCTTTATTCTTCCTCCAACTTTATCTCCCCAACTGTGGCCATTGAACTTCCCACATGAGAATCTTTTGAAAAAGAACAAATAAATTAATGGCATGTGTCATAATGCAACCTTAGCAGAGAAGAAGCAACATAAACACGAAGTGACAATGACTAGCTTATATCTCGAAAGCAAGTAACAGAAAGTGACAGAGTACTTGAAATGGTGGTGATATTATTATTCTACTAAAGAGTGTGTCTCATTTCCTAAGTCACACTAGGAGTCACATCATAAATTTTTTCCCAAGACCCAGAACGTAACACATTTCTTTATTTGTAATATCTGCTGAAGACAATAGATGAATATATTGATTGTGCATTTTGATAATTTTGAAAGTTTTGATAGTTTTGCAGTGGAACAAAAATGTATTGAGCCTCTAATCTGGGCCAGAAATGTTGCTAGGTGTTAGTAAGACAGAGATGAATAAAACATAGTCCCAGATTTGCAAAGCTCACAGTTTGGTTGGGAAGACAGGTGGGAAGAAAAAAACTGAAGTGCAGTATAAATGAAATTATAAATGTGTATGGAAGGTACAATACTGGCACAGAGGAGGGACAGATTGACTTTGGAAGGCAGCAGGATGTTTTTACAGAAACAACATCTGAGCTAGGCTTTGAAGGATAAACAGGAGTTCTCTAGTGCACTGATCCACTCAACAAACTTCACAGTACACCCAAGGCATGCCAATTCCTGTGTTAGGTACTGGAAGCTGAGATACATTAAGATAGAGTCCCTGGCCTCTTAGAACTCATAGACTAGATACGAGGCAAATATATAAACAAATAATTATAATATGTTGAGAGCAACAGCCATTGAGAGAACCCAGGGCAATCATAAGGAAAGGCCATGTTGAGGAAAGGACCTGGTTGGGCGTTTTCCCTCTGTGTTTATATGGTGCATTTTCAGCAATTACTTATGGGTCTTTATGACAGCACTAGCATATCAACAGGAAAATGACTCTTTACAAGAGAATTAGTGAGAAGATAAGAAACTGTGAAAAAGTGATGGAAATCTATCAATATCCATTTAACAAAAAATTTTAAGCCCCTATCATGGCACTTTACTATTTTGTGGACAGATAAATATCAAGTGGCCATAAAATCAAGGGGTTAATGACATGGGTTGGTGGAGTCAGCCTGCCTAGGTTCAAATCCCAGTTTCCTAGCCCACTAGCTATGAGATGTTGAACTAATTGTTCAACCTCTCCATACTTTACTTTCCTAAGTGGACGGCAAAACAACTCTGGTTATCGTCATCTTTGAAAAGAACGTGTTCATATGCCGCTAGTAAGAATAAACTTTCAGTAGGGGTTTTGACAGGCATCTTTGATTTGGTTAAGGAAATTCCTCCCTTCTATCTCTTCTATGCTAAAAGTTTTTATTATGAATGGGGTCATTTTTCTCCTGAAAGATATCAGAATTTCTATGATGAGGATGTGTTGGAGGTGAACTCCCCCAGTTTATTTGAAAGTATTTTTTATTTTGCCCTCAGTCTTCAAAGGTAGTGCTCACTAGCATACAACTTCAGTTTGACAGTATTTCCTTTGAGCACTTTGAAGATGGTTTTCCTCTGTCACTTGATACCCACTATTACTACTGAGACATCAACAACAATCTTTATGGGGGGGCATGTATTTTCTCTCTGGCTACTTTTAAGGTTTTTTTCTTTGTCTTTGCTGTTTCTTCAGCTTCCTTCACTGTAGTGTGTGTAGACATGGGCTTCTTTTTATTTATCCTACTTATTATACATTTGTGCTCCTGTATGTATAGATTCAGGCTGGTTATCAGTTCTGGGAAATTCTCAGCCCTATCTCTATGAACTCCTCCTCCATTCTTTCTACAGGGTCTCTATTAGACAATGGAAGCAATGATACTTCCTTGTTCTATTCTCTATGTCTTTTTTAAAATTATTTTTTAATGTTTTATTTATATTTGGGGGGAAGGTAATTAGGTCTATTTATTTTTAGAGGACATGCTGGGGATTGAACCCAGGACCTTGTGCATGCTATGCATGCACTCTACCACTTGAGCTATCCTCTCCCTGCCTCTCTGTCTTTTAATCACTCATATTTTCCATCTCCTTGTCTCTCTGTGGTGTATTCTAGGTAATTTCTTCAGCTTCATCCTCCAGTTTACTTATTGTCTTTCAAGCTATACTTACTATATTTAGCCCTAACATTAGCTTAATAGCAATAATTATAATTTCTAAGATATTTACTTTTTTCATATTGGCTGCATCATGTTGATAGCTAACTCATTAAATAAAAATATTTCATTTAAAATATACTTTATACTTAGTTGTTTTATATCCTACGTATAGTAATTTCAAAATCTGAAGTCCTTGGGGATTTAACTAAAATTAAATTTGATGATATTTACTATTTTTTACTCATGGTGGCTTATTTCTTGTGTTTTTGGTGACTTTTTAAAATTGTGAGCTCATACTTAGTTCAATTTAATGAGACACTTGATGAAGTATATAGAGATTGCTTTCCTCCAGAAAGGCTTGTATCTGCTTCTTCAGGGATCCAGGAGGCACGCCTGACTTGGGACCACTTGGGTTCCCTCTGAAGGGCCCAGCTTAAAGAAAATGTCGCAGGATCAGCTCCCCAACCTCATAGGCTCAAAGCTCACAAATGGACTCCAACAGTTCCTCCCAACTACATACATGCAGGCTGCTTGTTCCATTAAGAGGTGGACT